GCCTTTTTGGTGGGGACTCCAAACTACGGCAGCATACTCCAAAACAGGCCGAATAAAAGTTTTATATGCCGTCAGTTTGACGTCTTTGGTTGCGTTTCGTAGTTTTACTCGAAGAAAAAGTCCTAATGGAGATTTTTTTACCAAATATAAGTAATGTAAATAGGTGCTCTTCTATAACAGCCAAGGTTGACTTCTGCAAGTGTAATCCCTTTCGAAAAAAAAAATGCCTGCAGCTACGGGCCCGTTGCAGGCGTCAGGTGTGCGACTGGTGCGAATAAGCAAGCTCACGGCCGAAATAGGACCCCTCTGTGACGGTGTCCAACAGTTCATCGGTCTCGCTGAGCACATGGGCGACGCCGGATCGCATGAAGTACACCTTGTGGCCAATGGTGCCGCGTCGAGCGATCACATCGTGCGGCTGGTAGAACTCGGCGTTGAGATGCTCCGCTATCGCGTTCGTGAAGTCCGGGTCCGCTTGCGCGAAGAACGGCACCCGCGTCAACGTCGCCGAGTAGTTGTGTCGCAACACTTCCTGCGTTTTAAGACGTATTGTAACTAGCGCTCCGTGCTGTCCGAGTTTATTCTCTTAAAATTGGGAGGGCGTTTTCCGAGGTTTCTTGTAGTGGAAATTCGTGTTCATTTTTCGTAAATCCCCCATTCTCCGAATTTATGAGGCTAATTTTGCTATTATTCTCCATACTCCAAGATAAATGACATGACACCTGAACACAATCACCCCAGAACACACACAGGAAGTGTATCTAATTGTCTAGAAGATTTGAACGCACAAGCACATATATAACACAAGCACACTCACGAACACAAATACATGATTACAGAACGACTACATTTACGCATATTACTGTCTTAAAGCTTGATGTAATAGGCTATGGGTCAGTAACTTTTGATGCACAGTACCAAGATGTTTGAAGCCGACACCTTGAGGGGGGGGGGGGGAGTAAGGGAGCACAGACACAGGCAAAGGAAAAAATTGTGTCAGCAGAGAAAAATCTACAAAAACCATAATATAAGCATAATACTTACATTTATTTTAACCACAACATCAGGAAGTTGCAATTTACAAACAAAAGTTTTAACCGAAACTCAATTCGAGGTCAAAACTTTACTGTCAACCTTCGGATGAGACGTGACAAGAAGAAGAGTTCGCACATCACGCCGGGTGCCTCAGTTTGCCGACACCAGGACTATAGCGTACTCTATATACGAGGTTTCTGTCATTGATGCCAGCGCGCTTCTTTCGACTGACACAATACCGCTTTTATTTATTCACGTGTACGTCACAGTTATTTCTAACCGCATACCTATACTTTCCTTGACATCATTATCTGCCAATTCTCATTATTATTGTGTCTATCAAAGAAATTGAGCCCTTAAATTCACAGTTCCTTGCTTCATTCAGAGCGAGGGTTTCGTGCTGGCAGATTTGATGCCTTCAGGTATATACTATTATACGAGGGACTATTGGTCACCTGCCAGCTCGTAATAAGCTCACGTGCTATGTGACGCCAAACAGGTAGAAGAAGAGTGTTCCACACTCGTCATTGTGGCTACTGGCGGCGCTGACTGACGCTCCCACGTTTAAAATGCCCTTATCATCATCATCATCATCATCCTGGCTACGTACACTGCAGGAAAAAGGCCTCTCCCATGTTCCGCCAGTTAACCCGGTCCTGTGCTTGCTGCTGCCAATTTATACCCGCAAACTTCTTAATCACATCTGCCCACCTAAACTTCTGTCTCCCCCTAACCCGCTTGCCTTCTCTGGGAATCCAGTTAGTTACCCTTAACGACCAGCGGTTATCCTGTCTACGCGCTACATGCCCGGCCCATGTCCATTTCTTCTTCTTGATTTCAGCTGTGATATCCTTAACACCCGTTTGTTCCCTAATCCTCTCTGCTCTCTTCTTGTCTCTTAAAGTTACACCTCTACCATTTTTCTTTCCATTGCTCGCTGCGTCGTCCTCAATTTAAGCTGAACACTCTTTGTAAGTCTGCAGGTTTCTGCTCCGTAGCTAAGTCCGGCAAGATACGGCTATTATATACCTTCCTCTTGAGATATAGTGGCAATCTACCTGTCATAATTTGAGAGTGCTTGCCAAATGTGCTACACCCCATTCTATTCTTCTAGTTACTTCGATCTCGTGGTTCGGTTCCGCGGTTATTACCTGCCCTAAGTAGACATAGTCTTTTACAACTTGAAGTGCACTATTACCTATCTCGAAGCGCTGCTCTTTTCCGAGGTTGTTGTACATTACTTTCGTTTTCTGCAGATTAATTTTAAGACCCACCTTTGTGCTCTCCTTGTCTATTTCCGTACTCATGAGTTGCGAGTCGTCCCCTGAGTTACTCAGCAATGCAATGTCATCGTCGAAGCGCAGGTTACTAAGGTACTCTCCATTAACTCTTATCCCTAACTGTTCCCATTCTAGGCTTCTGAAAACATCCTGTAAGCACGCGGTAAATAGCATTGGGGATATTGTGTCTCTCTACCTTACACCCTTCTTGATTGGTATTCTATTGCTTTCTTTATGAAGCACTATGGTAGCACTTGATCCCCTATAGATTTCTTCCAGGATGTTTATATATATGCTTCATCGACGCCCTTATAAACCATAATATATAATTCGGGCGGAGGGATACGACCGCCGCCGTAGCTCAGTGGTAGAACATCAGACGCGTTACTCGAATTGAGGTCGCAGGTGCGATCCCCGCGGGCGGCATGTTATGTATTTATCCATTTTCACTTCTCCAGATATACATACCTCAATTACTTCTTATAACAATGCCTATACTTTCCTTGCTACTGTGTCTAACAATTTGAACGCTAGCTGTACCAAAATGATCTGGTGTACGCATGCATGTGCACCGCGAAGTTCCTTTGAACTGTCTGTCTCCACTTTCAGCAGCGCGGCACGCTCAAAGGGCCATGTAAGTCATCAGGTGATAATTATCGAGCCATTTCGATAAAACCTTTTCGTTAGGACGCCCTTTTGATAAACAACTAAACAGGGTCACATATGCCGTTAAAAATTGGGCAAAACCAATGAATCCCAATCGGCGAAAAATTTAACGGCGACTGTTTATCGTACTTTTTTTTCGGATTCATTGAAAAACACGAAACTCTAATTCTAATACGCGCTTAACCCCACACTACACCACTAATAAACGTTCTCAATGAACAACATACCTTCCCCTTTATAAAAGGCACGCGGTTGGTGAATTGCCGCCTCACGTACATCAGGTGTATCTTAGCTTAAGCACGCCATGAAAATAAGGTTATGACAGATATTGGGTGTGAATAAGTGTGCTCCACTTAAAAGTTATTTGTCTTGCAATTTAGGTGATGAAACTCATGTATGTATGCACGTACGTACGTTTGTATGTAATAATATGTGGGGTTTGCTGCATTTGCCTGCGTTTGCTCTGCGGTGTCTACAGACGGCGCTGTGTTCTCATTAAACACAGCGCGCTGGCAGTTTACGTTCGTTAGTTCGAAATAGATTCAACAGGAACTGAAAAAAGCGATTGTTCTCCTCTTTCTTCGCTTGCGTCACTTTCAGTGGACTGGCTGAGGCGAAACTACAGTGGGCAGGGGCGTAGGCAGAAAATATGATGTGGGGGCAGGCAGATAACAACAACAACAACAACAACAACGACAACAACAACAACAACAACAACAACAACAACAATAATAATAATAATAATAATAATAATAATAATAATAATAATAATAATAATAATAATAATAATAATAATAATAATAATAGCAAAGAAGCTTCCCCCTAGTGATGCCCAATCTTAAGAAAGTGCGCAGCTGGGCAGCCTTTATTTCTCTTCGGTTTTCTTTCATTCTTTTCTGTTTCTGTTTTCCAATTGTTCAGTCGTTTTTTTTCTTTCCTTGTTACTCTGTAATCTATTTCTCTTCCTGTTTTTTTTTTTTTGCTTTCTTTCTCTTTCTACACTTCGGTTTCTTCTTCTTGTTTTATATTTTTATGCGTTGTTTTTCTGCGATATGCCAACGGACGACAGCATCCAACTGTCAGGGCTCCTCGGGCGCTCCACACTTAAAAGGCAAGGGACAAATTCGTATAACACCGCTCGCATGAGAATATTAGACGGATCATAATGGCTTTTGCCACAGTCAATTTATGCGACAATAAACATTCCTGGGAGGTTCATTCTGTTATTACCTGGAAAAGTGGACCTGTTCAACACGGTCCTATTGGCAAGTAGACCAAGGCTGTAAAAGTTAGCTACTTCAGAGGACAAAGCGCTGTATTTGCTCCACCATCATTGAATGCAGCTATTTCGAAATTCGCGCCATGCTCTCACGACCAACGCTCCTTTTTACGAGCGACGAAAGATGTCGCGCCAACCTCGCCACTCGATAAAGAGCGCGGCTTCCTTTTTTTGTTGCGCTTTTACGCAGCCTCGCACCCAAACAGGTTTTGCGGTCGCCGCTGGCAACGCCGTTATGCGCCTCCGCGAAGACGCGCGTGTTTCGCACATGTGGGTTATATCGTTGAAGCAGCAAACCTAGACCCTCGAGCACGCCGTGAAGTCTCCGCCGTATTGTTTGTACTACATCGGATCGATCCAGACCGCGGCAGGAGTCAACGACTGCCACGATCGTGTGCCGGTGAATAACCAACCGCAAGGGGAAAGCGACGTGGAAGTATTCGTGCAAATCGAAACGTGAGCCAGCTTCACTTCGTGCACGCTCGACACCGCCGCCGGTGCTTCCTCGACGCCGCCGGCATCGCACGTGGCGTGGTGGGCGGCAACTCTGCTGTTTTCGTTGCCCCGCGACGTCTGACCGTTCTCATCGCGACAACACCGAACCGGCTGATAAGACGCTTACTTCGAATAACAGAGCACGCCCGCGTACGTCGGACGTTCGGAATGGTTATACCGCTTGACTGGGACGATACGCGGCTTCTGAAATTCGATAAGATATGCGTCGGCGAAAACAATTGAGCATGGACCATTCGTTTTCATTGTCTCTGCTCAGAGATAGTGCGGACGGGAGCACAGGATCTTCGACTAACAGCGGATCATTCGAGCTACACGCCGTCTCAGCGAGCCGCCGCAGCCAGCGGCGTTCCGTGCTCGTCGCGATGCGTGGCGTCGGCTTCAACTCGCTCCTCGTGAGGCGCTTTTGGAGCCTCTGCTCCCTTGTCGTGAGAGACAAGAAATCGGCGTTGCTACTCGCCGGTTTGATGTTCTTCGCCGTGACGTACGAGTTCGTCTCCTACCAAATGGGCCTCACCAACAGCCGCTTCTACTTGGTACTGGGCAACAAAGACCAGCGCGGATTCTGGATCCAAACGGCGCTCGGACTGAGTCTTGTCTTCGCCATATCCAAGGTCAGGGCGCTGCGCACCTTCCTGGCGTCGACCACCGGCGTGCACTGGCGAAAGATCATCACAAAGAACCTGCAAGGGCTTTACTTCGCCGACAAGAACTTCTACTGCGTCAACGTCTTGAAGGAGTTGGGCGGGGAGCTGGATAATGCTGACCAACGAATGACGCAGGACGTCGACCGCTTCTGCCGATCTCTGGCGGACACGCTGCCGGCCGCGCTGATCGCTCCGTTCACGACGGCATACTACAACTACCAGGCGTACGTGGCCACCGGCTGGATAGGCCCGGTCTCGACGCTCGTCTTCTTCGTAGTGTTCACAATTCTCAACAAGTTCTTGCTGGCGCCGGTGGTTCCGCGCGTCTACCAGCAAGAAAGACAAGAAGGCCAGTTTAGGCACGCGCATGCGCGCGTCAGGGACAACACGGAATCCATAGTATTCCTTGACGGTGACCCCGTGGAAGAAGCAAACATGAACGCCATTTTGGACGACGTGGTCAAGGCTCAGCAGTCTGTCGTGAACAGGCAGTTCCCGCTCGCCTTCGGCATTCATCTTTTCGACTATACTGGTGCGATCCTCAGTCTACTAGTCATCGCCGTTCCCATCTTCAGCGGCGTGTACGATTCGCTGACGCCGCAGGAACTGGCGGCGCTCATCAGCAAAAACGCGTTCGTCTCCATCTACCTCATCAGCTGCTACAGCAGCCTCGTGGACATGTCCGGCAGCGTCGCTGTGATCGCGGGAAACGCGCACCGTATTGCGGCACTCAGGGAAAAGCTGTTGGCATTGAGCGAAGAACTGCGCGAATTACACGCCGCCGAAAGCAGCGGTGACGACGAGGACAAGCGTCCGCCCGGAGGAGGTGACAGCCACGACGGCGACAGTCCTACGATCGAGCTCCAAGACGTGACGTACAGTTCACCGCGAGATGGCAACGTGCTCGTCGACAAGCTAACCTGGAGAATCGACGGCAAGCGGAGGGCTATCATCACGGGACCCAACGGAAGCGGCAAGACCACCCTGTTCAGAGTCATCAAGGGTCTGCGGAACGCCGACTCCGGAAGCGTCCGCGTGACCAACTCCCACTCGTTGGGATTCTTTCCGCAGCAGCCGTGGTTGACGGTGGGAAGCCTTCGAAAGCAGCTTCGCTACCCCTTCATCGAACAGTGTCGAGTGGGACTCGAAGATGGCGACGCTGAAGACGCTGAAATGATCTCGCTTCTGGAGCTCACGGGTCTTGGAAACCTTCTAAAAAGCGCCAACGATCTCGATAGCGATATGGACGCCGCGTGGTACGACACCTTGTCTCCCGGAGAACGGCAGCGGCTCAGCTGGGCCCGCCTGCTCTACTTGCGGCCAACAATCGCTCTGCTGGACGAAGCAACCGCCTCGATAGACGTCGAGCTTGCGGAAAAGCTCGCGGATGAGTGTGTGAACAGGGGCATCAACATAGTTGCCATAAGCCACAAGCATTCCTGGAACGCTGAATCGGTGCTCGAGCTGCGAGGCACCGATGGCTACTGGACGGTTTCCTAGTGGACCGACGCAACCCGGGAAACGTAATAGCAGTGGTGTGCTTGCGTGTGATCGTGTGAGTGCGGGACCAATACCGTCTGATGTACTTTTACTGCGGACTCGCTGAACGTAAAGCAATTTTGATATACATGGACGCGGAGACTTTTACGACATAAATATTTTTTTCGGCGGTGTGTTCATTGTCGGTCTTGTTTCAACGGTTGCTATATTTTTGCGTAATTATTCCTCAGAGTCGTATACCGTGATCGGGTGCCGTCAAATGCACATAAAAACACCAGCGATCTCACTGCTCCATACAGCTATATAAAGGTATTTGTCCATAGATAAAAAACCTCGCTGCTGCAATCATCAGCACCTTCCGGGCGCGGCGATTCCCTGCTGACTTGTCTGTGTTCTGAGTAGTCTCTGAGTTCGCAATATATTTTGAATGATCAACAACATTCTGCAAGCGATTGTTTGGGCTGAAAAGAGCTCTCACCAGATTAATCGGAAAAAGAACACGCCAACGTACTTGCACATTTGCATAAAACATTTTGTTTTGTGTGACAACACGCATTGCGGAGAACCACAAAATGAAAAGTTCGCACGACGAGGAATTTTCCTTAATAGATGCCACAAAGAAAGCAAGTAATATAAATGATCGTATGGCTGGCATAGAATTTCCTTCCTGGAAAGCCGCGGCCTCATGAGGAACTCGCTTGGCAGATTCCGTGCTTAACGGTTGTGTCGTCCGCGACTTCCGACGTCAGAGTAGCCCTCGCCGATCGGCCCACCGTCCGCAATCTTCTGACGCCGATAGGCACCCCGTCCTCGGACTCTTTCGACTATGTCCCCCATCTTTCCTATCTCTTCACTCGTGTGCGGCGAGTGCTCCGTCTTTTATATCTTTACCCTCCGATTGTTCTTTCTTTAATACTCTTGCCCCACCCTCTACGGAAAGCTTAGCCGTGTAGCAACTTGGCAGACAGAAATTAGCTCCTTTTTCCTTTCCTTTCAGCCTCATGGATAGGCATGTTTCTACAGACAAACCTGAGCTAGCACTGTTGTCTCCGCTCATAACGGCAGGTCGTGCGGGCTGTGCTATCGCCAGCGTATTGGAAATTTCGCTACGGTTTCGTTGTTCTTATATTAGGGGCGAAGCTCCTTATAGCGGCACTCGTTCGTCCCTCGTAGCCGTTGTAGTAGTGTGTAACAAGTATAACATTTTGACCACCAAGGTGGTGCAGGCGAAAGATTTCTTCTGTGTGTTGTTGAACAATAAAAGATAGTACTCAACGTATACATGCCAATGGCTGCTAAGGGGGAATGAGAAACAGGAGAATCCGGCTTTTAGTTGACGCGCACGCTGCGAATTTTTTATTGTTCAACAACGCACAGAAGACAAGAAACGGTTGCTACGTTATACTCGCTGGGCGTAACCTCCTAGGTTTTAGAAAGGTTTAGCGAGCATTGGGCCGCAGTGCCATGAATACAATGAACTAGTATATACCATGAACTCGAGGTGGTTAAAGGTGGGAAGTAGACACGAAGCGCAAGCCGTAAGAACGTGTGCGTGTGCCTCCTTTCGTTCAGTCCTTGGAATGTCCGCTGGATGGTGGTGCTTCTATATGAGGAATATATGATGAAAAGATGCGAGATGGTGGTACTTGGAGTGTTGAATAGACAGATGCACGGACGGACGCACGGATGGCTGCACGGACGGATGCAGGAGTGGATGCATGGACGAAAACAGGGACGGACGCACAGATGAACGTGCAGACGCACGAACAGACGCACGCACGGACGGGTGGATGGATGCACGGGCGGCCACACAGACGCACGCATAAATGGACGGAAGCAAGAACGAATGGACGTATGGATGCTTCGCCCCGCTATCCATCATTCACTCAATGGATATGCTGCCATTTGTGTGTGTGTGTGTGTGTGTGTGTGTGTGTGTGTGTGTGTGTGTGTGTGTGTGTGTGTGCGTGCGTGCGTGCGTGCGTGCGTGCGTGTGTGTGTGTGTGTGTGTGTGTGTGTGTGTGTGTGTGCGTGCGTGTGTGTGTGTGTGTGTGTGTGTGTCATTGTTTGACAGCTTGAGACCTCTTTCTACACATACCCCGTCCGTGGACCGCCGTTTGCGATGTTAGTCAAAAAACGTTGCGTCATGGAAGGACCTGGCGAAGCAACCGTGATATTACGCGCGCACGCAACTCCCAAGTGCGCCAGTGCGTATCATGAAAAATCGTCTGAAGGCGACACTTAACTGTAACATTACTTCTGTATTTTTGTTACTGTGAGCTCATCATGCATAAGGTCAAGATTTGGTCATGCCTTGGAAGTCTGTCCATGTGGTCAATAGGTAACAAAGCTATGGACCATCTCCCCCAATGGAACCCTGATTGGATGCGATGCAGCAGCAGTGCGCACGGCGTTGACCCGGTTGAAACGGGCGCCGACGCGGGTGCTGGAAGAACGGTTTGAAGCAAAACTCGGTGTTGCGTTTACTCAAGTAAACCTTTGTTTGAAACGCAAAGACACAGCAGGCGGGTGTTGGGTTTTGTGTAAGTTTCATCGCAGATAAACGAGCCGAAAAAGTGGTTCCACTCGACGGGTGGTCGAGCGTTCCAGGCGGTGGAGAGAGTGAAGCGAGATAGAGAAGTGTGTTGCGAGCGGGGCAGAGGAGCCGGCAGATGCGGGCGCTGCGGCGAGCGTGCTGTGGGGTGAAGGAGAGAGCGACGCCAGCACGCAGCTGCGAGGGAAGCATGCGAGGAAAGTGTGACGTCAACGCGCAGCTGTGGCATGACCTACTAGGCACTGCTCCAACATCTGCGGAGAGGTGAACGTGTTGCGGCAAGTTCGTACGAACGCACGTACGTACGACGTTACACACGTGAGTCAAAGAGCTGCTTCGAAACTGAAACTAAGTTCTTAGGTACCATATCTCGGTTACTGGTACGTTCTTTGTATGCCCCGTTCATTTTAAAGCAATCTTGTGCAAAAGAAAATTTAACCGGTTCCACGCCTTGATAAACATCGGAGAGCGAAGCTAGCGCCTCTTTCATCGAACATTGCGTTGTCCTGACCTCCAAAGTTTCGGCTAATTTTTCATTTATACATCCTAGAGGCGTCTCCTCTCGCAAGCTCGCGTTCGCACAGGCTTAAAGGACCAAAAGGGTCGTCGTCTGTCGCTAGCGCTCGGCGTCTCAGGCGCACCACGGCCGCTCAGCGAACATGACAACGTAGACAAGGGAATGACCCCCGAATCCGAGAGCGTGATTCGTTGTGAAAGGTAAGGACAAGAGTGCGCCCCCCCCCCCTACCTTTCATGCTCGTACACAGGAGGACCGCGTCCAACTTCCTGGGTGGCGGACTAAAGCTGCCCCATTTTGCTATAGTGTTTTGTTCTACACGAGTGTAATACTGAAATGAAAAAATAAGCTTACGAAATTCACTGGCGGCAACACCAGATTATTTTTGCTTGGCATGCGATCACTTCGACAGTGGCTACAAGCTTTTTATTCCGAGTCAGGCCACATGAATAGGCAAACTAAGTAAATTGGCACGTTCGGCAAACTAATAAGCATACAAAAACGGATAACTTTTCTGGCGCCCGCCATTTACGATCATTTAGATATCTTTTTTAGCGCATTTTTGTCTCAAGCGCGTTACTACTTCGAAATTTCGGGCATGCAGTCCTCGAAGAAACAAGCGATACATCACCGCATTCATCAGTGTGACTGCGGCGGTACAGCGCACGATATTCATTCAGCTGACAAAGCCTCACAAGCTTTGCATGCCGCTCAGACACTTTCAGGTAATCGCAGTCTTCCTTATAATTTGTTGTGAAATCGCAATGCGTGATCGAAACGGGAGGAAGGAGCGTATAATACGGCGTTTACTGTTTGCACAACGAAGAGTGCCAAGGCACTTGAATATCTCAAAGTGCTGTTCATCGTTATCACCCCACACGATTCTTACACAGCTTGTCTTTCAAGACTTTTATTCTTTAGCGTCTACTAACACAGCTACAACAGCAACACGGAAAGAAAGAGAATGCGGCTCTATCCATCACTGACCTGATACTTATACAGTCCACATACGTAAACAAAATTTCTCATTTCAAGCGAATACTTTTGAGGTTGAGCATCAAACAAAGAAAACCTCTAGAAAATAATGTTGTGAGAAAAACGTATCTATTTAGATGCATTTACGTGTAGAGGCAATGGCGTACTTGAGATCGGAGCCGGTTCATTTATAAGTTTGTTGTTCTCGATCCGTGTCTATCGTAACAAGAGAAACTTCACAGCAATTCCGCAAAATCGATTGATAATACACTGAAACTATTTTTTCGTACGAGAAAGAAGCAAACAATAGGTAAGACCGACGCGTAGCTGCGAAAGGAGAGGGGGTACTCAACGGCTCACTCTCCGGAAATTTTCGGTTTTGCATGCCTATTGTCTCGTGGTTGCGGCGAGGACCGAGGCAGCAGGCTGCGTGTCCAGTGTGAAACGATTTGGCCGAACTTGTGGCAGGAAAACTGGAAAGTCACACTACTGCAAAACACGCGATAGAGCGTTAACGGCGAACAGAGCGTCGGCCGTCGATAAAGTGATCCACGAGCATTGGGCATTTACACATGCAGCGGCGAACATCCGGGATTTATCACTCTCGAGAATATACTCGGGTGTGAGCGCTTGTTGCGCGCTCAGGCACAAAAGGTGGTCCCAAAACACTCTAAAAAGCTCCCCGACATTCTAGCACGGATTACGCATGGCCGTGTCTACGCCCCTGATGCTCAATCAACGCTACAGAGGATGCCGTACGTATGCCGTAAACGAACCACCACTGTTATTTTACGTTGAACGTTTTTAATCCTTGTTTTGGGGAAGAGGTGAGATTTATTATATGAAAGAGGGTGAATAGTGACGCAGTAACTGTCTCTATAGCGAGGACGAGCGTCCAAGTAAGTGAGTGAGTGAGAAAGCCAGTGTGCGTGTCTGTTTGTGTTGTGTGCGTGTGTGCGTGTGTGTGTGTGTGTGTGTGTGTGTGTGCGTGTGTGTGCGTGTGTGCGTGTGTGTGTGTGCGCGTGCGTGCGTGCGTGCGTTCATGCGTGCGTTCGTGCGAGCATGCATGCGTGCGCGCGCGCGTGTGCGCGAGACTGTAAACAGAGCGCACTGTATTCCCTCACCTCTCGCAGCGTCCCAGACAACGAGGAAAGGATGTCCTTGTCGTTGAGGAACATGGCCTGGGCGTTCAGGTGCGACCTGATGCGCACCCGCAACCTCTCGGGCAAGTCGTAGTAGCTCATGAACTCCTCCACCTCTTGCATCTGCATTTCACACCACCGAAGCAGTCATTCGAACGAACGACTTATTTTCCGATCGTGACAGTACGTACTATACCGTGTACGGCTGACAAAGGCAACGCAAACAGGCAGATACATGTCAGGAACGTTATGCTGCGTTTCGTCAAGAAACGACCGACCTAAACAACTTCACTCACTGGATGATGACCGCAAAGTACGGTAAGCACTCATAAGTAACTGAGTGAAGCATTCTTGACAGTAAATTTTTTGCACATAAAAAGATACACCTGATAGACGTACCAGCCTAAATTTATGAAGGGTGCACGTGGTTGGGTTTACACTGTTAACATAAAGTTCGACTTCGTTATTGCAATAAGTTGGATGTTTTAACTGGCGGTGCTCTTAAAATAACAAATGAAGCCCACTAAACGCTGTATGACTTGAGCAATAAATTCTACGTGCACCAACACACGAAGGCCCAACAACCCGCATGACACAAGGGCGCTATGTGTGTCATGCGTGATTTTTGTCCTCATCTGTTTGTGCGCTTATAATATATTGACCATGTCATACCAACACACCCAAACCACCACAATTGCGGTAAGACTACTGGACGCTGCGGTATACTTAAGTTTACCGAAAACAACATGCCTTGCATGAATTTGCCACTTTCCTAACTTTTTTAAAGTTTGTATAAGCGCGCCTTGGGAAGATATGATGAAGTTTTTGAATCTTACATTTAGCCCTATTTGTCATACAGCTTTGAAAGCCTTGAACGACTTCCAGAATAATATCGTGAACTGCGACCAGTTGCAGATATACAAGCACTGGAACAAGCCCAATTTCTCACTAAAATGTGTGAAAATACGTACACCACACTATAGCGGTTAGCTCAATTAGCTTATATATAGGGCTGTTGAACGATACCCGCGGCTTTTAATTAGCATTCATTGTATGTACATATGTTGCACGCTTAAACAAATGTACGAATGGGGTAAAGAACTGCCGTCGCTCCCGAAATTAAATCATGTCTCCACTCCTTATAATATATGACAACGTGAGAACCAGTATAGTTTATTTGCGACATTGTGGGACGCTCGCAAGTATAGAGGCTTCCATTTGTACACGGCATGGTGAATGAAAAGATAACTAATTGTCGCTCTCCTTCTCGCCCACAATTACAGACCGCTACGCTGCGGAATATTAGCTGCTCTGTCCTTTATTGGTATCTCACAAATACTCAATATTAGCTGCTCTGTCCTTTATTGGTATCTCACAAATACTCATTAAAAGGACGGCTGACAATGTACTTTTTTGCTGTGAACGTGCTCAACCGCTTACACTCACATAGCTTTAGTAATGCCAGCGCTCAATTTTGCGAAATTAGTGCTGGTAAAGATATCGCTATACACCACGCACGTATACCCGGATTTCCTCTGACGCAATATTGCCACTGCTTGTCGAAGAAACCGCGCACAACCCGAGGATATAAGTTATTGACTGAGCTGGTCACACATGTAAGCAACTGTACGTTGCAGGCGCACGGCCCGGTGCAGTGGTATCTGGTTCGTGTGACTTGTATTTCGTGCTGCAGCTCCAGCTCCAAGGCAATCACGTAAACATGCACGGCGTATATATGGCGCCGCGCATTGAGGCCATCGTACCCGCGACGCCCCTTAACAAAATTGGAAACGTTTATCAGCGTGACTGGACAGGAGAAGTCATCTTGCTTCGGAATCTGGGACCAGTAATATGCTATGTCACTTCAGAAAATCTCAGTTGTACTCCATAAATTGTCACGTAGCACAGTGTTTCGTGATAATGATACTCGCTGTTAACACAGGGGAAATGCAATTCTTTTGTCTGTTACTACCGCCACTGACGATAACAGCAATATTAGCCCCACCGCCTTTCTTTTTCGGTTCTTTTGTCACGCCGACAGACTCGCTTCCGCGTGACTATCACAACGAGAAGTGTTATCGCCACACTCGGCCACAGACAGGCATTGTTGTGTTATCGGGCGCCGTTCACTGAACGTTGATACTTGCAGCTTTCTCCCTTAACTACAACGACACCCGCACCAGGTCAGCTAGATCTTGCAGTGATAAACGATAAGTGGCCATTTCAAGCCGCGTTATTCTAACGGACGACCGTACTACCTGTCAACTTTCGATGCTTCTGAAGCATTCATTCTTTCAGCAGAGACGAGTTTACTCAATAAAGTCAGCATGATGCCACGATTATCGGTGATCTGCCACTGCCGCACGCCGATAACTTTATTTTACACGCAACAGCTTCTAATACTCAATAGCACAGGCCAGGTATTGTTTAGCGTATATCACAAGCACCTAAGCTACGCAGCATATTACCATTGTTCATCGATCAAAGGTGTCTGTAACACGCGCTGCGAAGGAAAGCGATAGTGTACCCATTGCAACAGCTTAAAAAAGAAATAAATAATCAGGAGCCATTGTCTGATCATAAAATTCGGGGTAAGCGATACTTGACGTGTGTGTGTGTGTGTGTGACTTGCTAAGTTTATGTATTTATTTATTTATTTATTTATTTATTTATTTATTATTTATTTATTTATTTATTTATTTATTTATATTTTCCTTCCTCCACGCCGGCAATCGGACTTTGATTCACGCATTCAGATGCTTGACACCTCAGTTGCTACAGGCAACTGCGATGGTCGCGGGTTCGTATCTAGGCAACGATGAAATGTGGCAAAACGTGCAATGGCAAGTGAAGCAGGAAGCAGCTTCACCGGTTAGACTTTTAGGCACAAATGCATAAGTGCTCGTGGTCCATAGTAGCGACCAAAACAACTTGAAGGGAGTAAGCGCACGTCATGCTCATTTTACTATTAATTTCTGTGCAATATCAGTTCAATTTAGCGTCCGGAAATACAATCGCAGGTGGGTGCGCGGGTTCAATGCTTCACGCGGGGGCGTTTGTTAGACGATATGTCGACGCACGTTGAAGAACATCGTATAGTCAACAAGATTTCCGGAGCGATCCACTACGGAGTCTCTCATTATCATATCATGGTTTTCGGCCGTTGAACCACAGAAATCATCAATAATTGCAGCTGGATGTCTCCACATAAGCACTAACGCAAGCTTCTGGTCACCATTCTCGATATCGAATAAATTCATCTTGGATAGAAGTTTTAGAGCCAGAACTTCAATTTAAAAATTATCTTAGCGAAAAAAAAAGCGTTTTTCACCTAAAGAACGATATAGACGCGTTGGTACCCCGTCCCCCCAAAGAAAAAACTTTTTCGGCATTATCTCAATTTCTAGACGTTGAGCGCTTATAACCGGAAAACGGTACGCTTATTGGTCACGATACTGATTCCTATTAAAGAAAAAGTGAAATGCAGCCTTATGGGTATTTATTTCTCAATTAGTGTCGAAGGGTTTCTGAGCAAAAATATTAGAAACGCCAAAAAAACGCACAAAATACCTTATTTCAGGAATTTTTTTTTTATACAAGTCATGCAGGGGACAATAAAACTTGTTTAAACCACTCTTTCCCCACCACGACCAATGCAAACTGTCGGACTAATGTCGAATAAAGTAAATTCATTGATCCATTGAAAATAATAGTACGCGACTTAATACGAAGCTGTTCCAAAAGAGCTAATGCGCAGCCAGGGACAAAGCTTTATTATTCATGGTGCGACAAGCCTCACGTATAGTGATAAGCCGCATGGTGGGTTTCAGTGGAATAACACATTTCGAGAAAGTGAGAAAGCTGGTTGTTCCTACAGAGGTGGAAACAGCGCGTACTGAAGAGAGCGGACCGAGCGACTTGCGTCTTGTGTTTCCGCGGTCCGCCCTCGTCAGTACGTCCTGCCTCGGAGCTTGAGCGGACGATCCGCAGCGACGCACGTTTCGAGGCTGCAGGCGCTCACATTACCAGCGCCGCTTCGAATGGCGAGCGAGCTCCGCTTGAACGACTACACGACGCTCAAAGGACGAATGAGATGAGGAATGTGTCACTGTGAAAAGTAAAAGCTGTCATTCAAGCAAGGTTCATAGCATACAATTATTATTTTTTCCCCGTCTCTTGCAGTGAGCATCCGCCACGGTGGGGCAGCGGCCATAATGCTCAGCTGCTGACCCGAAGGTCGTGGGTTCGATGCCGGTCACACTTCGACGAAGGTGAAATGTTTGAGGCCCGTGTACTGTGCAGTGTGAGTCCACGTTGAAGAATACCAGGTGGTCATAACTTCCGGGCCCTCAACAATGACCTCCTAATAGTACGTACCTTGGCTTCGGACACAAAAGCCATTATTGTTAGTTTGCATGCCGTAACCCACATGTCTTCTTCCTCTCCTCCAATGGCCTAAAAATGCTTGCATCCTGTCTATGACTAGCTTATATGACACAGGATGTGAGAAGGCCTAGAGTGCCCACCTGCGCCACTAATGTATCGCAGGTAGTTTATGACACAGTAATCAAGCCTGCGACAGAGGCGTAGGCCCATTCTTTTCTTTTTTGGAGGGGGGGGGGGGGCGTACGTGCTTGGAGCGCCACATCCTGACTACGCCATTGGCCTACGACATCTGACGAAGGCGACCATATACATGCTCACGCTGGTCAAACAACTCAAACCACATGCTTCTCATGACGGAAAACTGGTTTTAGTGTGCCCGATTTCTCTGCTTTATGAAAGCAAAGCTACTGCGATATTCTGTTCTTGTGTGTCTGCAGGCACAATATTCAACACAAGCTACGTGCTAATCACGACATTTGTCGGTATCGGGTGTAACAGCAGAAGAACATGTACATCCGCGGCCATGTACATGTCTGGGTAGAGCGCGCGAGGAGCCGGTTTACGCTCCGCGGGGCGAAACCTCGGGGCAGTTTCGGCCTCTGATGAGGTCAGCCTGACAGCTAGGCCACACATGCTTCTGATACAGCCCTTCAGAGCCCCAAACTGCCTCGAGGTTTCGCCCCGTAGAGCGTAAACTGGCTCCTCGCGCGCTCTACCCAGACGTGGCCGTGGCTGTACATGCCTACTGAAAAAGCTCACTGCATAATTATCGACAGAGCTTTCGTCAAATAAAATGAACCTTACTAGCAATACTTAAACTGGTGTAGCGCATTACGGGGAAGAAGAAACTGCCGAGCAGACCGACACAAGAGGACAGAGCGCCGACTTCCAACTGAGCTTTATTGTCAAACTGGATCAAATATGTAGACCGGCGCAAGCATACAAAACCACCCAACGCAACGACAAGATTACACGCAACATCGCACCGTCTCATATCACAGATTCATAGGCGGTTATGCTGATTAAAGAAGGCCACTTCATGTTCAGATAAAACTAAAGACGGGGCGCTAATACACGTGCTGCCAGCTCTTGCTATACAATGCGCTTCTATAATTTCTCGAGTTAATTGTGACGTGTGCTTTTTAACCACTTCACATTGATCAAATAAACGGCTTTAACCTTCAAGGTTGATACGTTCCTTATACGATTCGTTGTCTGAGCGTCGTTTAGGGTACGCGTGCGATCGAAGCAACACTGGTAATGCGAGCGCTATAGCAGCTTATCGTAAGAGAAACCTTGCCGCAAGATGCAACCTGGCTGCAGATTTAATATTTCGGATTAGCTGGTTGGTTGTTACATCACGTACAATTATTTAACAACTTGTATACGATTTGCAGTGCGTAATTGCGCGGCCGTTGGGCGGACCTGTTCCCATTTGACGCCTCATAAGGCGTTAGCATATGAGCAACGTATTTTTTGCGCAAAGTGGCGGACAAAGTCCTCAACTTCAATAACACAGAGTTACAAAGAAAATTTAAAATGGACTTTTTAAGAAACTGATTTTTAAACGTCGACGTTTTTGGTAAAACACGTACATAATTCAGCACAATTTCGAAGTATAACGATGGAAGAAAAAACCACTACGTTTTTTTAAAACAATGCAAAAATGTCCCTGCCAGTACCTACAGTGTAGATATTACCCTCAGTGTAACTTAATTTCACCAATAATTCCTAAAATACAGAAATTTTGTTTCGTTTACCATGTTTGTGATATATTTTCTTACTCGCACATCATTCCGTTGCAAAAGAAAAAGGAGTGCTCATAAGATTGCATTGGAATTTGTAGTTTACGGCAATAAATAATGGGATCAAGAAATGCGTCGTATTTTTTTCCGCTAGATGCACTAAAGGTTGAGAAATTTCGTAGTTGACGGAAAAGTGTTCTTGCGGTTAGAATATGTATGATATTTATACCGAACAAAAATTATTCAATGAAAAAAATCTAACCTCAAAATCATTGTTCTGGGCCTGTAATTTGGTTGAAATTGAAAATGGTGGCCACTAACTAGCGTTCATTCTTACCTAGACACAGCCAGACACCGGTACAAATCAACAATGTGCAAAAATTCTTCATTGTCATCTGAATTTTTACCATAGATTCAAGGTTGGTCGTGGCAAGAGTCTGTAGTTTTTTATCAACTTGACGGATATTTTCTTTTTTTACAAATATTGGTCTGATTGTCGCGAGCGGAATAAATTCCCAAAGTTTCATTCTGGCTGTCATTCTAACGGTCATTAGTCTACGATCACTGAAACAAGAGATTGAACACGATTGATCTTTTCGTCTGTATACCTAAGCGGTGGCGGACCGCCCTGGTTGTTCAGTTCTCTGACTTTTTCATACGACCGTACCTATGGCAAGAGAATACGTTGTTAGTAAACCATTCAGTACGGTGGTGCAAAAAATAACCGCTTAAATTGGCAGAAAGTGCACATCAAGGAGCAACACGATCGAGTATACGTCGTCGTGTGAGGAGCTACCTTTAAGTAACAATGCAGACAGCCTAACTCCTTATAGAGGAAAGGACTATCGATGGCTTCCATTGTCCTTTCCTCTGGGGAGTTAGCCTCTCTATGCAAGTATAGCTGAATTTGCGGAGCGCTTGTAGTGACGATGGCCGAAAGGCGATGCTGCCTGCATGTGTGGTACATTCCCTGTTTCCGGAATAAACGTTGTTGCAAGTTGACGCCTGCGAGTGTCCCGTCTTCGGCAGTCCATGTTCTTGTCTGTAATTTTTTTGTGCTATAAAACTGCAGTCAAACGGAGCGGCTCAATCAACAACACCCGGTGACACTGTTTAAGAGCGAAAGAGAACCACCGCCTTTGTTGAGCCAGCGAGCGAGAGCCGTCGCTCAATGAGCCGCTTCGTGAGCCGTCTTCCAAAGAACCTCCGCCTTTTTTTACTGAGCCGCGGATCACTCGTTCTTTAGAAAGAGCCCCTCAAAAGATCCGACTCGCTCCTGAGCCACCCATCTCTACCCGAAGGTTACGGGATCAATGCCTGGCCACTGCTGCCGCATTTCGGTAGGCATGATACGCTGGGCTCCCGCGTCATCAGATTTAGGTGGTGTTACAGAACACCAGATGATCAATTTTTTCGAAGCTCTCGATTCACTACGGCATTTCTCATAATATGGTGGTTCTGGGACGTAAAACCCCGGCATACATCATTAAAACAATAAACGTAGCGGCATAACTTACCCTCTCCCTCTGGACGTTCTTGGTGTAGTCCTTGTGGGCGAGCAGGTTGGCGCCGTATCCGAGGAGCAGGGCCTGCCAGAGGGCGCCAAAGAACATGCCCATCACCTGGATCCACTCCTCGATCAGCAGGCCGGTCTTCTGTGCCACGCCGTAGCTGTTGGTCATCATGAGGGACACCGTGTTGTGCACCGCCCAAGAGTACTGCACCCACCACGGCTTGTTCTGCACGGGGTTGTGCCACGGGGTTGTGCACTGCATACGTCTTCGAGGAGATAAGGTTCTCGTGCAGTGAGCCAGGAGCGCTGACATCCTGCTCATGCGTTTGCCTTCGATGTCATTTAGTCGTTCGCCGTATCTTATCAGTGGAATCAAAGTTTTCTTTGACGCTTATTTCGCCAGTATGCTTTGTTTACAATTTTCTTGTAAAATGGAACTTTTTCCACCGATAGTTGCGTGCATTCGGACAAGCGAGAATTCGCGTGTATTCGGACAAGCTAAGTTTACTATGAGAGACTGTCATGGGGCTTTTATTATTCCTTATTATCCCGGTGCACTACCATTTAATATTCTACTTGAGAGACTGCGTATACCGCCGCCTACTGGCATACGGAGCTACAGGTTTTTTTTACTTGGTAAACTAAATAATAAACACAAACACGTGCGCTTTTGCCACGTACTACGTTCACATTTCCATCGCTAAACAGGCGGCACGCAAGCAGCAGTAATCTCAATCTCCCTTTATGGTCAAATGCATAGGGCGAAAAAATAACGCAATTTCACGGTACTAGGCTGTGCAACAAAAATTCACATAAAATTTTGAGATTGCATCCAAACAATGCCTAATTTCTCAGCAATAAAATTTTCTTATTTTAATGTATATTTAAATTTCGACAAGTATAGTCAATGTGTTCATAGTAATTATGAGTTAGTTCATTTCTTAGTTTTCCCCGCTGCGATGGTCTATATAATGGCTAAGATACTCGGCTGCTGACCCGCAGGTGGCGGGATCAAATCCCGGCTGCGGTGGCTGCATTTCCGATGGAGGAAGAAATGTTGCAGGCCCATGTGCTCAGATCTGCGTGCACGTTAAAAAACCTCAGGAGGTCGAACTTTCCGGAGCCCTCCACTACGGCGTCTCTCATAATCATATGGCGATTTTGGGACGTTAAGTCGCAGATATCGATCAATCAATATTTTCTCAGCTCTTTGGATATGCCTAATGCTTGCGCTAATGCATGATACTTTCGGCACTTTTTTTTATTTTTCCTGTCCCAGAGTGCTAATTATTATAACCTTGTCTCTGTTGAGCCCACCACTAGCCGCTTAAGGTATGTGTCATCTACATTTTTTTTTTTCGGATCACTGAGCTCTAGCGATTGATTATTTGACAACTATATACGCAACGGCATGCAGATAAACTTCCTTCCTCATCCTCCTATATATGTGGCTTTGAACAACTTCTGATGAAGTACTTGTTAGAATTTATCTGCTCATGCTACAAAAATCCCTACGCCCTTCATTTACAGCGAGAATGCATACGTGCTCCCTAAGCTTCTCCAAAAGCTGCTGCTTGGGCAAGTTGGTTCATGATTAAGATAGATTTACCTGTGCCAAAATACGAAAAACATAAGAAGGAACGCACACACACAAACTAAATGTGCGTGTGAGTTCCTTCTTAAGTGTTTCATGTTTTCGCGCTGGTAAACTTACCGTATTCCCCAAGCCTCGCGCACTCGGAAGTTCACACGCGATTTTGTGCATCTGAGCGCGCGGGATACTTTTTTTTTCTGTCTCCTTCTTTCGTCGAAATGACACAAATAGATCGAGCAGGAAAAGTTAAGGACGCGGCCGACCACCTGCAGGTTGGCGATGGATATCCAGGACTTCGGCGGGAAGCCCATCAAGGAGCCGACGAAGAACTGCAGGCAGGCGTGCCAGTGCACAGCCAGGAAGATGAGTGCCAGGATGTTGCCCAACTGCAGGTATACACCCGTCGTCTGATAGAACTGCAACGCAAGAGCCGAGGCAAAAGAAAGGTCAAATGGAGCGTGCACCCATAGTGACAACACAAAGATTTGGTCTGAGCTCCATCCGCAAGATCGTGTTGCATTTACCGCTCGCCATAGTGAGCCGTGTTATAGCAATACAATTCGAGTTTGTGTTTTGGCTCTAGTATATGTATTGACTTGTAACTACATATTTACTTGTAACATAAAAACTAAAACAATGTGCTTGGCTAAAGATTTAGATGTAAGGAAATCCCGAAAAACGTACCAAGACATTCTTATTTCATCCCGAAACAAGCCGCACGAATAGAGATTTGAATCGCAATATATGCCGCCTAAGACAGGCAAGGCGGTCTTCAAAAAGAGAGAACGGAATTAGCTATCACGAAATGGCGCATTCATGCTCAAAACACAGTTTACTCCTGTTTCCACGCAAGACGTAAATACAGTTCTCCCTACAGTAAGAGTGCCATGGAGTAACATACTCTACACCTATCAAATTTTCTTCCCAACACGCACAACCTTGCATTATGATGTAAGATCGTTTGACTGGCCCTGGAAGAGGAACTTGCTGCACACCCGTCAACGACAGGGCTCTAAAACACGCGGCCAATATGGGCGTTTCACACGCAGCCCACGCCTTCAAAAGGAATGAAATGTTTGCGACATTTCAAATGTTTGCACATCGTACTCGCGTTGTTTACACGCTCGTAGCGACTAGTAACGCGTTGATCGCGTAAGGTATGCGCGAACGGGACTGGTCACAACCATCTTTCTCGTGAGGCACCCCATGCGGCCAATTTCTGTAAAAACGTAACCATGAAATAAACCGTGTCATTTCGCAATATCCAGATTTGATTCGTTTTTGAAGATTGTAGTTTGAATGTGTTTGTCGAATACTGAAGCTAAGTCCTGCTCAGAAATGATTCGGCGATGGATGCGATATGATACTTTTCTTTTTTTCAAATGGCAGCATTAGGCGACATTTCGTTCACCCTCTTCATTGCCTCCGCTTTAGCGTGCTTCAATGTCTTGTCCCTTGCGGGACCAATTTTCGTCACTTAGGCCCTCTAGCGATGGTGAGTTTGAGACCCCCTGTGCTATAGTGTGATACGGTGTGCTCCCACGCGACTGATTTCTCAATAGTCGCAAATGTGAAACTGCTAAACCATCACCATCCGAGTACATATATCCACTGGAAAAGCGTCAGAGTAATGGCTTGGTGTGCTTTCGGTGTTACGACAAACTCTTGTTCGCGAAGGGATTGCCGTCTTTCCGTGTAAGCAATTTTCAGAGGGAAAGGCGCCGGAGAGAGGGTGCCATCGCATCACAAATGGTTTCCTCTCCCACGACGAATGGCGACCGGGCTTCACGCGTGGAACGCCAGTGTTGCCGAGGGGCAGGTGAGTTGAGTGTAAGTTGAGTGCGTTGAGTGTAATCGCGTGCATTTCTTCGAACATATTACATTGACGCAAGTATTTACTGCCTAGCCACCTGTGGCGATTGCGTGCGTTGATTTCTAACGAGCTTTCCTTTGCGGATGGATCATTTACTCAAGCCTTCTCGGAAGAGACAGCGAAGGTGGAGCTGACGTTTCCTCCAATCGATAATATGTATTCTATAGACGTCACCGTAGTCGCTGTTCTCGCGTCCCGAAATGCGCCAGAAAGACGAGAAAACGCAAGAGCGTATAATACGCTTCTTTTGTATTTTTGAGAGGCTGGCAAAAGGCCACTTTCCTAGAACACTTTTTGAACATGTTCAGAAAACGCTGCCGATCGGTATAGTCGAAGCTCTCGAGAACACATGAGCCAAATAATATAGCCTAGCACGCAACCTGAAATTCACAATATATTCTCGCAGTCAGCTAAAGATTGCTTTCTTTTCTCTTGACAAATGAACATATAATCTTAAATAACTCATCACATTGACTGATTTGAGTATGGCACGCTTAGTCATTTCTGGGACTGCCGCAGGAGGCCCAGAAATGACTTAATTGTTACCGCGTGCGCGATCGGATCGCACTGAGAAGCTGCGCATTGGAAGGGGAAGAGAGAGAAGGTGCTCAAGGTCACCATGCGCGCGTGACGTATTTCCTTTCCTCGTACCATCCCTTCCTGCTCAGCGTTCAGCGCTTTCTTCAGGAAGAGGGAAGAAAACGCAATGGCATTGTGCAACAAATCTTTGTAACACAGCTCGTACTAGACGGATTCTGAACATTTTTGGCGGCGGCGAAATCGTGAGGCAGTGAGCCCTTTCAGTGAACCCATTCCGTGACTATTTGAATCACTTTAAAGAGCGCTCATAAATGGTTTTAGAGAACCCCGACTGACCATTATCTGTTCGGTGCGGCCACCGTAGCGAAACAGGCGGCTGATCTTGATAAGCTTGACGAAGCTGATGAGCTTGGCGAGTTGCGATAACGTGGATCTGCGGTCCATGTTGCGGTATTGTGCCGGCCAGTTCAGCACGAGGAAGTCTAGCGGTAGGCTGCTCACGAGGTCCACGGGAAACCAGCCTTTCAGGTAGTGCCGCCTAATCTGAACTGGATCCATGATGACGATGCCCTGCTTGCGATCGTCGATACCTGAGCGTGACACAGACCGCCAATGATATCCCCGAACATATTTGGATGGTACAGTTCCTATAGTCTTAGTTGTTGGTCCAGCCTCCACGGTTACCGCTGAATCTAAATACAAAAAAACCTCCATGACATTTAAGACATTTGTTTCAAAGTTCGTGCAATGAGACACTCACTATCGCACGCAAGTAAGAAAATTGAACTAAAACATACAACTCAAGGCACCCTTCACAAGTAGCACACAATTTCGTAATTGCATAAATGCGTGATAAGTATTTTGTTACGTGCATGCGTGCCATCAGGCGACGCAAGAATAACGTTATTATGTCGCATTCCTGGTTTCTAAAGAACAAAATCGGCCCGTAAGCGATTGTACAAGTCCCACCCTGACGAAGTTCCTGATGATTTTACGCGTGTTCGGCCGTTCGAAATTTCGCGTAAGAATGAGATATACTGTATATCTGTAAACATTATTTAGTGCGAAAAAAACATGTTCCGGAAATCTTGATTTTCCATCATGGTCGGACATGCTGCCATAGCCGAATATTCAGGCAATCATGCAAGTAACGTATTAAGAATGCTGAGTATTTTTAATTTTACGGTAAAGCATTTTTGCTATCATAAACTTATTTTAAGCCTACTCTTGTTTTTAAACCTAATTTGATGATAACTGCCTATTCTGATTAGCTTTCTTGCTATAATGTTAACATTCCTTACTTCCGAGCTGGAGACACAAGCAAGCTATACACAACAGGTCTGCGATGCGCGCCACACCATCACGTCCTTTTTTCCGATGGAGGCGGAAATGTTGTAGGCCCTCGTGCTCAGATTTGGGAGCACGTTAAAGAACCCCAGGTGGTCAAAATTTCCGGAGCCCTGGCGTCTCTCATAATCATACGCTGGTTTTGGGACGTTAAACCCCACATATCCATCAATCGAAACCGCCACGTCCTTAAACACAGAGCTTTCATCACAAGCCATCCTGTACTCTTACGACACTGTATAGTCTTCCAGGATGACTCACACTGAGGCCTGCGCTCGTGTAGCGTGTCGTGCGAGGGCGCTATGCAGGATCGGCCGAGCTTCGCAAAATTCGGGATTTTCCCAAGCTTTGGCGACACCCCCTTATGAACGAGCCAACAGGACAAAAAGGTCAAATCCTTCCCTCAGCGCACTGCGTTTTATTGGTTACGATGGAACGAGTCATGGCGTCAAGGACGGTCGACCAAGTTGGGCGGTGTTTTCAAACCAGAGACATCATCTTTCGTTTGTCGTTCCACTGAGTGCAAAAGAACACCCATGCAATAAAAGTGTCAGAAAATTTTCGTGATAATATTTTTTAGAGGCAGTGGTGTTTAAATTCATTTTGAAGCTTTAAATTCCCGCACTAAGTATGTTTTAGAATAATCAGCACGGTGACTTCTGTGATCGGTACCGGCCGAGCGTCTTACAACATCGCGACCGCAACCGAATTCGAGGCCAGGTGTCGGTCTATACATTCTAGCGAGGTCGCGTGTCTTGGAGGCCACATGTCGGTCTATACATTCTAGCGAGGCCACGTGTCATCCTGTATACATTCAAGCGCGCCGCTCGGCCGGTGCGTGTCGTCCTTTTTTGTCATCGCCTACTAGCACCCCAGCAAGTGCGGCCGGCTAATTAGCTATTTGGCTGGACGGTATACTTCGCTAGTTAGGCCAGGACATGCTATGACCAAGCTAATTACGCCAAGTCATGGTAAGGTCGAGGTAATTATGCCACATCTTAGGAAGACCATGCTGATGAAGCCATGCAAAGCTAGAACCAGACTAACTAGAGCAAGTTAATTGATGACTAGCTAAACTTTGCTAATTAACACGATATTACTCATGAGCCCGCTAAGTAAAATCGTGCTAAGTAGCCCTCAGTAAATTATGACAAATGATATCCTGTTAATCAAGATTACGTTTCAAAGCTTCATACTGATCACGATCACGACCTTGCTAATTGCGCCCGAGATAATTGCCTTTTAATTGAAGCCTTATCAATGAAGACAAGACAGCTTAGTGTAATGGTCATTAAACCTCAGCCAATAAGTACAATCAAAATTAAGACAGAACTGACACGAACTGCACCATGAAGCTAGGTTATCACATACTCCTCTATGTGTTTAGCCTTGCACAAGTAAAGTAAGCTCACAACATATATATATATATATATATATATATATATATATATATATATATATATATATATATATATATATATATATATATATATATATATATATATGTATATATATATATATAAGTGTGTGTGTGTGTGTGTGTGTGTGTGTGTGTGTGTGTGTGTGTGTACGTGGACTTGAGGCAGGGTTGGAAGGAGACGAGGGGGAAGAATAGGTTAGAAATAAAGAAGATGGCTGACACCCCAGCCTAGTACTGTGTATTATTACAAATTGGCGCAGCCGCGTTCACTTTCTGTGCGGACATTCAAGATGTGGGTGGACTTCAGCATTGGAGCAAATCAACGCGGTGGCATCCGGATCTTGACCGCAACGCCTCAAGATGAAGAGGAACTAGCTCTTCCGGAAGCAGTAAGCACTGACGCATTTGTTTCCTATATAAGCACTAAAATGAAGCTCACTCCAGACCATTTACTTGCTAAAAGAACGGTGAGGATCAACATGAAACTTCAGGATTATGAGAATTTTGTGCTGACTCCAGTTAGAAACGACGCGAAGCCTGCTACCGCTGCTTCGCCCGACAGTTCCGTCGAGCTGATCAACAAGTTTCTTGAACTGCACCAAGAACAGAATAGGCAGCAAAATGATTTATTGCGCTTGCTTGTAAACGCGACGGAAAGACTAAGCAGACCGAGTCACAAACTAGTGAAGCCAGACATGTTTGACGGAGAGTCTAATAGTCCCGAGTCCTGGCTCACGTTTTACGAATATGCATGAAATGAAAACTACTGGCACAGCGACGAAGATAAAGTGAAAAACATGCGACTATTCCTATCGGGCATAGCAAAGAGTTGGTACGAATGGCGTCTCAACGCTCACAGCAACAAACCATGGACAGAGTGGAAAGCAAGCTTTCTGAGCTCCTTCAGCGAGAACAAGGTTTGCTATGGGACAAAGCAATCACGTTCAAATACAGGTCTGGATCTGCACTCAGCTATTTTTATGAGAAAAGGCGCTTGTTACAGCTGGCGGACTCAACTTTGCCTGAGACGTCTGTGGTTCCGCTTATCATTCATGGTTTAAGTCCGGACCTCCAGAAGCAAATACAAATGCGAGGACCCAAGACAGTCGAAGAACTTCTGCAGGGAATGCGAAACCTCTACCTCCAGGACCTAGAAACCCAGCGTCAACCCATGACACCTGCTGCAAGGAATACCGGGGCCACACCAGCTGAGGAACGACGCCCGCTTGCAAGCTGGAGACCTACTGCAACACCCATATCCTTTGTCAATGCAACATTGTTGTGGGAGGGAACTGAAGAACTTAAGTTCCATAACGGAAAGTTCACAGTCCCAGAAACAATGGTGCGTCGAATTTTGGAGCTCTATCACGACTCCCCGCACTCAGGTGGACATGATGGCTTTTGGAGGACATATTACAAGATTCGTCAGCGTTTCCAGTGGAAACACATGAAATAGGACGTTCAACGGTATGCTGAGTCTTGTCATCAATGTCAAGTTCACAAAGCCAAGTACCTTCAGAGAACAGACGAGATGGTTTTGCCTCAACATTCCGACGTACCATTTGAAGTCATTCATCTGGATTTCGCAGAGCTCAAGAAGAAGGCTGCAGGAGTAAGAAGAACGCAGTCTTTCCTAGTGGCAGTAGACCAGTGCACAAGAATAGTGGCTGCACGGCCGGGAAGGGAAGACGCAAATAATGTGATCGCTCTTTTGAGTCGAGAGATGTTCAAGAATAAAAAATAGTAATATCAGACAGTGGGCCAGCGTTTCTCAGTCAGCGTTTGCAAGATTGGGCGACGGAACGAGGAGTTGTATTGCAACGCTGCGCTCCGTACCATCCTGCAGGAAATGGCATGGCTGAAAGAATCATTCGGGATTTGAAGCAGTTCATTTCAATGTATCCAGGTTTTCAGGGTGGATGGAAGTGCTGCTTGGAGGCAGCTGTCGCTCATCACAATCGGTCGCACACTGCGAGCATCGGCTGTAGTCCATATTTTGCAGCTTTCGGAAAGGTACCAGTGCTTCCTGCTGATCAAGAACTTTGCATTGCAGACCGCCTGAAATTGTGCGAAAAACGAAAACCTTCGGAAGTTTACCAGCGATACCGGGAAAGTATGAAGAGGAACTTTGGCCGTCACCACAACACGCGGATACCTCAGATACAACTGAACGATCTGGTGCTTGTCAGAAAAGGCCTTCCCGGCACAAAGCAGGTGTACATGGGACCTTATCGCATGGTGCAGATCGCAGTGCAACATGACGTTCTCAAAAGGGTCGGTTACACCAACGATGATGGTGTGCTGGAGTTTGCGACGATTGGAAACGTTTTCAAGTATCACCCCAGGAGGTATGAGTCTTCAAAGAGGGGGAGTGTACGTGGACTTGAGGCAGGGTTGGAAGGAGACGAGGAGGAAGAAGAGGTTAGAAATAAAGAAGATGGCTGACACCCCAGCCTAATACTTTGTATTATTACAATATATATATATATATATATATATATATATATATGGCTGTCATCGGAGTGGAGCTACCGCCATGTCGTGAGCATACTAGGAGTGTCTACGACAGCAGACAAGTCAATACGCCTTAAAGAAAACCTGAAGGGGAGTCCAGAATTGAATCAAATTTCGTGTTTAGGAATATCATAATTTCTCTCGTGGTGTCAGCGGCAGGTGAAATTAAACCTGGTCTTGCTCCGCCCGCGCGAGCACGTTGAAAATGCGGTCGTGGAAACATGCGTTATTTTTGTTTCATCCGGCCTAAGCCACATCTCACGCAAGGTTGAGCGGCTAACTATTGCGGCTAACTAGTGGGCACGGGAGCAGCGCATCAAGCATGATGCCTGATCTGCGTGTTTTTCCAATGCAGGCTGCGCTTGCGCTGTTGGTGGTCTGGCTACCGGCTGTCTCTTCTGACTCGGCGTGTTCGCATCTGCTCTCGCAGGTGCATTCTTCTGGCGTCAAAACCACAAGCAGTGGTATATTCTTCAATGCAACCTCATCGGCGAAGCTCGACCATCATCTGCCAACAGCATCGACAATGACATCGCTCCCCGGAAACCACAAAAGCAGCTTGCGGACCAACCTGTTCCTCAGTGGGCACGGGAGCAGCGCATCAAGCATGATGCCTGATCTGCGTGTTTTTCCAATGCAGGTGTGTAGAAAATATTCTTTTTATACTGAAAAATCGAATAATACCTGCCTTTTGCTGTTCCCATGCCCACGGGTTTTGTTTGATACCATTTGTGACTGCTTTTCCACTGCCTTCTTATTATTGTGTTGCGGGGATATTGAAGCTAATCCTGGGCCAACAACGCGTTCTGAAGCGCTATTGCAACTTGAAACACTACCCGATAACCCCGCTGAACAAATGAGTGTGCTATTTCAGCTCCTTAAAGACATTCATGCGCGTTCTGTTCAAAGTTCGAAGAATCATGCTGATCTAGCTGCTGACGTAAAAACCATAAAAAACGGTCAAAAGGACGTCGAGACGAAAGTAACCGGAATACTAAAAAGACTAGATGAACTAAAAAACAAATCCAAGATTGTCGAAAACTTCAAAAGTGAGCTATCAAGCATGCGTAGTAAGGTATCAGAAACTACTGCTCAAAACAGCTTGTTACAGGCTCGCCTGGACGAGCTTGAAGATAGGTCTCGGCGTGACAATTTAATTTTTCATGGGTTTCCAGATATCAAAGAATCTTGGGAAGAAACTGAAGCAAAGGTGGTCACTGAAATTACGTCCGTCATAGGGTCATTTTCGCCAAACTCGATTCATCGCGCACACCGACTAGGCTCATTTTCGCAAAACCGATGCCGTCCCATCATTGTAAAGTTTAGCGACATCAAAACTAAAGATAAAATATTGTCTGCACGCTCCCAATTTAAAATAAAAGACATAGGCATTAGCGAAGACTTCTCGCCCGCTACGCGCATCATCCAAAAAAAGCTCACTGATTTCGCAAAAAATCTGCCAGAATCCCCCCAATTTAACTTACGTTACAACAAGCTATATGTTAACAAAAAATGCTACATGTTTGATACTAACGCTGGACAGGTTATTGAAGTAGAACGGCCTGGTCGAGGTTTCGAAAGTAACATCCAGGCACGTGTCCCTTCCTAGGAACGCGCGAGGGGTAGTGGCCTTAAATCTAACCCAAGGATCTCTGTTCTGTTCACGAACATAAGAAGCCTTCTTAACAAATATGATTCTTTATCTTCCGCAATAGATACCTGCGATGCACAAATAATTGTGCTAACCGAAACGTGGCTCCGTGCGCATGTACAGGACTCAGAAATTTTTAATCAAGCGAGTCATTTTGCAATTTATCGTTGTGATCGAACTGCGCATCGGGGTGGCGGTGTTCTGTTAGCGATATCCAAAAACATATCTTCTTCTTGCATACACATTACCACCACTCTTGAAACTATCTGGGCTTTGCTCACTATTGGCCATCAAAAAATCGTCCTAAGCGCATGCTATCGTTCCCCTTCGTCGTCCTCAACATTTGTTAACGAACTCCACGACGTTATGAACCACATCGTAACACGTTTCCCCAGTTACCCCTTATTTTTGCTCGGCGACTTTAACTTTCCGAACATAAATTGGACTACACAACCAGCTTCTATTTCTCCTTTTTCGACACAAGCTTCTGAGTTTTTTTAACTTTTGCTCTATCTTTTCTTTAACGCAATTAGCCCCGCCGCGGTGGTCTAGTGGCTAAGGTACTCGGCTGCTGACCCGCAGGTCGCGGGTTCGATTCCCGGCTGCGGCGGCTGCATTTCCGATGGAGGCGGAAATGTTGTAGGCCCGTGTGCTCAGATTTGGGCGCACGTTAAAGAACCCCAGGTGGTCGAAATTTCCGGAGCCCTTCACTACGGCGTCTCTCATAATCATATGGTGGTTTTGGGACGTTAAACCCCACAAATCAATCAATTTAACGCAATTAGTAGATCATTCAACTAGAATATCATCTCACGCAGCTAACACTCTTGACTTAATCCTAACTACGCGGCCCGATTTTATTTCCGACATAACGTACTTGCCCGGAATCAGCGATCATTCTCTTCTCAGTTTTTCTTTTAATGCATCATTCCCAAAAGTTTCAAACAACAAAAAAATAATTCGTCACTACAAAAAGGCGAACTTTCAGGCTATTAATCACGAGTTATCCATCTTTCTTGATACTTTTTTGGCAAACTTCGATGATCATTCTGTTCAAACTAACTGGGACATATTCGCGTGTAAAGTTTACGATCTAACAGAAAAATTCATACCGAAACGCACTATCACGTGTAATCATCGCACCCCGTGGTACAACGCCCACTTGAAAAGGCTGTCTAACTGTAAGAAGCGCCTTTATCGTTCTGCCAGGAAATCGCCAACTGATTCCCGATGGGAAGCTTACAGATTAGCATCGAACGCTTACATATCTGCACTAAAAGCTGCTAAATCTTCATTTTTATCCCAAACCTTGCCATCCATGCTTAATAATAACGTTAGAAAGTTTTGGAAAGTCATAAATCCGCCACATGATAACAGTATTTACTTAGAAGACGCATCGGGCTATTCCATTTCCTTGAGTGATTGCGCGGCTGTGCTCAATGATACATTCACGAAAAACTTTTCTGTTCCTTCTACAATTAATGCTCCTAGCGTGCAGACATATAATTTTCCTGTAATGTCCTCCATCTGTATCGAAGCGCCAGGTGTGGCTAAGTTGATTGCTGGACTTGAATACCATTCTTCACCAGGTTACGATTTAATAGACTCGAAGTTTTTGAAGAATACAAGTTCATTTAGTTCTATTATTTTAACAAAAATATTCCAGCAATCACTTGACACATCTACGCTACCCATACAATGGAAAATAGGTAAGGTGGTTCCACTCTTCAAATCTGGCCAAAAAACATCCCCCGCAAATTACCGCCCTATATCTTTAACTAGTACCTGCTGTAAATTACTGGAACATATCATATTCTCACATCTACTCAATTTCCTTGAATCAAATTCGTTTTTTACATCTGAACAGCACGGTTTTCGCAAATCGCTCTCATGCGAAACACAGTTATTATCTTTTACTCACAAGCTACATCGCATTTTAGACCAATCATCAAAAGTTGACTGTGTTTATTTAGACTTTTCCAAAGCCTTTGACAAGGTATGCCACAAGCTGCTACTATTCAAACTAAGCAAACTCCAACTTGATGACACCATAATGAAGTGGATTGTAGGTTTCCTTAAAAATCACTCGCAATTTGTTTCAGCTAATAATCATAACTCTTCACTCAGCCAGGTTTCCTCTGGTGTCCCCCAGGGATCTGTTCTTGGACCTCTTTTGTTTCTTATTTACATTAACGATCTGCCTTCTCTTATATCCTCTAATGTTCATTTGTTTGTCGACGACTGCGTAATTTTTCGGGAAATAACTGCTGACAACGACTCCTACTCTCTCCAATCAGATCTAACTAGTGTAAGCAACTGGTGCAAAGAATGGTTAATAGAACTTAATGTCACTAAATGTAAAGTAATGCGTGTATCGAGAACTACTAGTTGTATGCCTATATATTACCTGAACAATACACCACTTGAAATCGTTTCCTCTTACAAGTACTTAGGTGTTCATATTACCAACAATTTAACTTGGACGAAACACATCAAATACATTATTAACAAGGCAAATCGCATGCTAGGTTATTTATGTCGAAACTTTTTTTCAGCCCCGTCTTCTTTAAAACTTCTTCTATACAAAACACTAATCAGATCAAAACTAGAGTACGCAACACCAGCATGGGATCCTTGCCACGACAACTTACTCACCGCACTTGAACTTGTTCAGAATAATTCAGCCCGTTTCATTCTATCAAATTACAATAGAACGGCAAGTGTAACGGCAATGAAAAGTAGTATTGACCTCCCATCTTTAGCATCACGACGTCTCATTTTTCGCTTAACTTTATTTCATAAGGTTTATTACCATGCTTCTCTCCATGCTGAACTGCTTTCACAACCTCAGTACATATCATGTCGAATTGACCATAATCATAAAGTTGGAGTTGTTTCATCTAACACTAAATATTTTACTGAGTCTTTCATTCCAAAAACATCCCGAGAGTGGAACCACCTTCCCGCCGATGTTGTTTCCATACGCGTTAATCACCTGTTTCATCAAGCATTAGCTAATATTGTATAATCAGGATAATCTATGTTTTTTCTATTTAAACACATGCTCTGTTTTTTTCTAGGTTTTGTACATCTTGGTACTCCCACTCCCCTCTTCAATGCCCATGGCCTTGAGGGTATAAGATATAAATAAATAAATAAATAAATAAATAAATAAATAAATAAATAAATAGGCGTGTTTAGCCTTTAATTTAGCTGAGCATCGCTTACACTCAGCCACGCTTAACTGATCTGCTTGCTTTCTTGTGTGAACGCGTGTATGCCCACCTGTCCTGAAGTTGAGCATCATGTCCGCGAAAAACATGAAGTCCGAGAAGAGTGAGTAGAACTGCCACTCGATGCCCGGCAAGCGAAAGAAGCCTAGGTGCAGCGGCATCAGCACCAGGTTCATGAGGAGCAGAATGAGTATTAAGATGTCCCACCACCTCCTGCACAGTGCAAGTAAAAAAAAAGTGTCATATATCCGGCAATGAAATAGCTTCTAACGCGGAACCAGTAGATGACCTCACTCAAGAACGATTCGGTAGAGGTGTGCGACTCTCTTAACCATACTAATAATAATAATAATAATAATAATAATAATAATAATAATAATAATAATAATAATAATAATAATAATAATAATAATAATAATAATAATAATAATAATAATAATTGCTAGCTTCACGTCCCCGACCAGAATATGATCAAAATGCCGTAATGGAGGGCTCCAGACATTTCGACTACCTGGGGTTCTTGAACGTGCAACTAAATCTCAGTACACGGGCCTTTCAGGATTTCGCCTTCATCTAAGTGCGACCGCCACGGCACGGATTTCATGCCGCAAAATTCGTCTCCGAACTCGAGCACCAAAATCGCTAGACCGTCGCGGCGGGAAGTTTTCGAACCGGACAGGAGGTGGTCGTAATTCCGAATATTTTTTTTTTCGGATAATTGAACCAATAGTTTTTGGTAAACACGTAATAACTGATAGTGCTGCTGACACAATATTATATACCTTGGGCAGCGGATCAGGATACTATTGTTCAGTGAGCAAAACATGACTAATTGTTCGGACTCCGTTTCGCCACACTTTTCCTTCATAATTTGGGTGCGCCGTTCATTGATAGTATTCGATATTGGTTTCTTACACTGCAAGTCACCTAGTCTTGCAAATACGTATGGCGCAATATATTTTAATACGGTCAGTATCGGTAAACTCACCGTGAATCATTTAGCCATCGGAGCGATTTATAAATAGTTCGGTGATTCAGGCACTATAATTTTACAAATAATTTATTTAAGAATCAAGCGAAAAAAAACCTGGTCATTTCTATTAGTAATAATTTCATATGATCATACGGAGGTCACAGACAAGCAAGCTTAAATTTCCTTATGTAACATGGGGCGCTTCCTCTACTGTTAAATAAAGTATTGCTATTTCTCCTTATCAAAACACGCATGTTTCCACTTATCATATATGACGGTATGAGAGCATGTGATATGCGATGTGGGGATTTTTTCATGAGATTCTAGAACGTTCACGTGGATCCACATATGCGACGCTTCTTAGCTCGTGAAATCCCCGACATTGGGTATCTGAAACAGTTGCCGCGATTCTCATTGAACTCTTTCTCATGGTTATAGCGTGAAAGGCTACAAAATGTTGTCAAGTGTAGCTACAAGACAGTAAAGAATATCGTTCACAACTAATCATTTTCACATTTAACAGGTTCACTTCTCTGGGAAAGGTGTAACGTGAATTCAAGAAAATCGGCACAACGACACTATCGACTAAAGAGGCGAAATCACGAGAAATTTTTGCAGACAGATAAACGTGCATTTGAAATACAGATGTCATGCCTCGCGCGGCCACACATGCATCGCTGCCACAGATGGTCTAATTTCGGGGCGCAGATGTACTCGCGCCCACTTGGCGCTTTCGCTCGCAAAAACAAAAAAAACTCAAAAGCAGTTGTGAATGCGCTAATCCAGAGTTGGAACATTATACGAAGTAAATCAATATCGTTAAACTCTTTCAGCATACGTCTCATAAATCAAGAAGCACTGGCCTAAGAAAATCCGGACGCTGCAGTGAGTTAAGCGACCATCGTGCTATCCCTTCATTGCAAACCGAGTGATGAGAACAAACACGGAACGGACAAAGGTATGAACCGTTTGCTGATCTCTGTCGAGTGTGTGTGTGTGTGTGTGTGTGTGTGTGTGTGTGTGTGTGTGTGTGTGTGTGTGTGTGTGTGTGTGTGTGTGTGTGCACACACACACACACACGCGCGCACACACACACACGCGCGCACACACACGCACGCGCACATACACACACACGCACGCACACACACACGCGCGAGCGCACACACACGCGCACACACACACGCACACACACACGCACGCGCACATACACACACACACACACGCACACACACACACGCACACACACACCCACGCACACACAGACACACGCGCGCGCGCACGCACACATACACGCACACGCACGCGCACACACACACGCACACACGCTCTCTCTCTCTCACTCTCTCTCTACGTGACCACCCTCTCCCTGGGGCCATCCTCTGTCATTTAAGTGGCAGCGCATTTCCACTTCACCTGAGGAGCTTTTACTCGAGCATAAAACATCGGCAGCACGGAGCGATGTTATAGCACTTGGACTATGCGTGGAACTGCACAGCGACGCAGACGGCAGCTGCAATATTCTCCCTGCTGTGTCCACATATTCGCTATTACAATAAATATCGAGCCTCATCTTCATGACCTCTTCATCTTTGTTCACGCTTTTTGCGCCTTGAAGTTAGCATAACTTTTTACACCATATATGTATGAAACACTAGTTCCAGCGACATGCAGTGACACCACCTATCTACAGAACGGTTACTAAATATTCAGTGAAGAACGCAAAGACAGGGGGTGTGACACTGGGAGCCAGCAAAATCAGCTTTTTCTTGGGGTATGTCCTACAGACAAATCCGTTGTTTTTTCTTTTGTTTTTTATTGTCGCGCTGCCTCTTGAAGAAGTACACAACTGGTTAAATGCTCTTAGAAACACTGCTTCTTGCTGGAGAACACTGTCCCACTTCATGCAGAAGTTCAGCCGAAGTGGCTAAGACCCCTCGCAACCACCGCAACATAGCTTCGTGCGTGCGATCCGTGTGATTTCATGTGCGTCAGATCACATAAATGTTGCTCACCGGACGGTTTGAAACCGATCGGCGACATGTAGCCCTGCCGACAGGAAGTCCCGCAAAATCCGGGACGGTTGGTAACCCTAATCTCGAGACCCGCTGCGACTGCTCGGACTATACCGTTTGACACACGATCACACATTGACTGAACCGCACCTTTCGGGGAAAATGCTATACGATCACACGCACCTAAACCTGGAGCGCGGGTGCAGGATGCACCTGTACTCCCTGCACGCCCGCTTCTTGAAGTCCAGTCCCGAGTACTGCCTCCTTGACGCAGCCGTGAGCGTCTTCTTCATTGTGGTCTTTATTGCATGAAGTTGGGCTGTAAAAACGAGACTTTCTGGCGAATGATGTCCAAACAACACTGCAGTGAGTCTTCGGTGCGTCAGTGGCACGCGGTGTTTTTCATTTTAATTTTTACCTCACTCATATTTCGTCAAGTCAAGCGAGGATTGTGCTCATTTGTGCCTGGGTGTATATGTCTTTACGGCCTATAAAAAAACATATACATTTACGGCATACGAAGTTGAGTGTCTTTATACCGAAGTATTCCACCACGAAAATAGAATGTCGCACGGGTAACTTTGTTTGAATAATCTCGCACTGTAACCTTCTCGAAATACCTGGCACGTGAGAAATTTTGCGTTATGCAGATCGGGAACGAGACGACTGGTCCAATCACCACTTATGCCACGACTGAATTCGGGTAGCGTTGAATGCGAGAACGTTTGTGTGTTTACATTTGAGTGCACGATAATAGAATTCATTCGGTTACAAATGTGCCTGAGCTTCCCAATACCGTATCTCTCATTACTGATGTGCTATTCTGTGGAAATTTGAATTTGAGCATTCGAACTGCTGGTATGTTTTCCGCATGCCTTACACAGTTCGCTTGATTTTGTTACTCTCTATAATGAAAACTATTAACGAGACAATACAGTATTGTGTTCAGCGTTGGGAGAACACTCGTCGGCGTTTTTTTTTTTGGGGGGGGGGGGGGGGGGATAACTGTGATGCTGTGTAAAGTCGAGCAGCCTAAAAAAATGAAAAATGTTCAATGCGAGTTTATTTTTCGTTAAAGTACTCGTCAATCAACTTAAAAAAAACGCTAAGCGCCAATATTGAGTCGACGTAGATTGCAGAAGTAGCGTTAAAGAAACCTCGTAGACCTTGTTGCGTGTCAATGAGGCAATTAGTTCGAAAGGAAATCGCGTTTTAATGGTTTGCATACTTTCAGCACAATTTAAACTGACCACGTCCAAGAACGAACTTCTGGCGTAGCTCTCGTAATACCCTCCGTTTTTTGCCCGCAATGCATGACTGAGCACAGCCCGACAAAAAAAATAAAACTAAACGAACGGACAATGCTGTGGCTCGTCCGTGACGCCAAAAAGTTATTTTTTTTTCACAAATGAGACTGAATTGTACGGGTTGCATTTTATTTCAAGCTGCGCGGGCTGAAATACTTTTTGTTCGAGCACTTGTGATTATTACACTGAGGAACTACTAAGTCATCGAGCTTGTTTCAAAATGTCCCACTGGTGGCGCATATTGCGGCCTCCCTTCAACTTTCTGCGTTTCTGCGTGCAACATTGATGTTTCAGATGATTTTAATCACTAACCAAATGTATTTGCCGTTTTAAAAGTCATTTGAAGGACGCCCTCTTTCATACAGGTCGTTTTGTATACAGGGATCATTGCTATGTGGTGGGCCCAAAATCATGCAATGACTCGTTTACCTCTAAAACAGGCGCCACGGAACTACCTTCTCGATCAACTGTCACAATAACAGATGAATAAACACTTGAAATCACCTTGCAGGATCCCTTGTAATGTTCTTTTTTATCTTTTTAACTGCACCTCCGTACGTTGTTCCCCTGTTTTTCTCACTCCTTTCTCCTTTCTGTACTTCAATTGGACCCTGAATGTATCTTTATTGAATAAAAAGTGTACATTTGGTAAGCAAATGCGCCACTTTATTCTGAAGCGCTAAATGTACTTTTATTTTTCAGAGAGGCATTCACATCGCATATACTGCAAACACGGGCAACGTTGCAAAAGTGCATTATCACCAAAGGCATTCTGAGTGCTTCATTGGAAGGGAGACTCGAGACCCTCTTTCGCAAACAGTGTAAATGCTGCCGTCCTCCAAGAATTACGCCTGGCTTATTCAGGCAATGCCGTTGATTGAGGTGTATATTGCATGGCAAGGAACACCGGCTTGTCAAAATAACTCCAGGGCAGTCCCGAACTATATGGCGTCTCTCATAGTGTTGTGGTTTTAACACCTAACTCCAAAATTTATCTTTTCACCCGGGCACGGCGTAGATGGGTACAGTTATTCCAAAAACTCCTTCGAACAACCTAGCTGCGAGCAACGCACAAGAGCTGTAATACGCGCGAGTATACATAAGGGTGGAAGGATGTCGGGTATGAAGATAACGCCTTGCTTTAAGCGGTTTGGCAAGGGCTGTGTGGAATGATTGCACAGATATTATCCGGAGGCCGTCAATCTTGATAAAGCCTCGAATGGGGTCATGCAGTACAGCGATAGAAACAAACAAACAAAAAAGTTGAGCACACGAATCTGCGCCGGCATCTGTTATCTTCGCAGAACGGATGTGCAGTATTGGAACATTAGCGCTTGACTTTCTCCTTTATTAGTGCACAGAGCTACGATAAGCGTTTTTCCTTCTGTGATTTAACGACTTAACAAATAACTGCACGCAGAGATAGGTGCGGAAACGATGAGGATGATATGTGGGGTTTAGCGTTCCAAAACTACCAGATGATTATGAGAGTCGCCGTAAAGTGGAAGACTCTGAAAATTTCGACCACCTGAGGTTCTCTAACGTGCGCCCAAATCTGAGCACACGGGGCTACATCATGTCCGCCTCCATTGAAAACACAGCCACCGCAGCCGGGATTTGATCCCGTGACCTGCGCGTCAGCAGCCGAGTACCTTAGCCACAATATAGGCCATCTCGGCGGGGCTAGGTGCGGAAACGAAAGCGCCAGATTAAGTTATTCCACAGCTACAACGAGAACGGAATTTTACAGTGCCAGTGTTCGGCTTGGTAATAATTAAGAACAGTCACGTTACCACTTGTGACGTCGAATGATAGCGGTGTCTTTAAGTAGCCATCATTAGTTCATTACATGTGTCGGCAGCCTAAGAGGCGCTTTTGGTCATCCGGAAAAATATATATGACATCCGTAATGACTTTCCGAACAAGAAACTGCTGAATGAAACGATGAATTCCGACGCAATATACAATTTAAAGTTATCAGATAACTCCAATAACAATAAATAATAATGTGCGGGTTTTTACGAGTTAATTAACCCACGAGCGATTAGGAGGCACACTGTAGTGTCTCACGCCGCACCTATGAAAGGCCCTGGAAATTTCAAAACTTTATGTTCTTTGATGTGCACCATTACAAGGGCGACCAGTGTTTCACTTCCACCTAAATGCGACCCTCGAAGTCGGAATCGAACCCGCGACCTTCGCAGCTTAGCAGCGTGAACGCCGTGGCGGACATGAAATGACATTGACGCTGCAGAGGGCAATTGTGCAGGCAATAACTTATTATTTCTGAGGGGGCTTGTGAAACTGGGGTTTCTCATCACGTCTGATGAGGGTCAGTGTTTTCTTTATAGTGGGTTTTCCTTTTTGAACGTTGGCCGAGTGGTCCTCGGTAAACACTCGGAAATATGGAAAACACCAAGACAGATAAAATACAAGAACGAAGACTGGCATAAATAGAGTTACCGACCCACCTCTCACGTCTCCGATTCCTATCCCCACTGAAAAGTCAAGACGAAGCTATTTAGGACTCAGGGAGAATTGCGCTATCGTCCAGTGCACATGTGGGATGATGCAGAACGTATCGTTGTCGTGCGGAAAACACTGCACGTATACAGAAGAGGTGTCCGTTTCTGTCGATGACTGATTGACGCAAGTAGTCTTGAAAACAACCCTACAAGAATGCATGCATTCGAATGCACCTGTTACTTTCCCTATTGTGAGGCCGTTGTTTCCAGGAGCAATACTAATTAACAAAAACTACAGGGTATGCTCACAATTTTCTCAGATTGTGAAGGCAAGAAAAAGGATGGAAGAACTCTGGCAGACCCCACGCATTGTGGGAATTGATTTCAGGATGAGCAGTCATCGGGGAGCTATTCCATGCTTGTGAACCGCTGTAGGTGTCATGGACAAACTGAGGCGCTTGTGCCACGTCGCGGAGCACAGGCTCCGCCCAGCCGAAAGCTCGCCACCGCCCTCTATGATCACGTGACAACCAGCACAGCAGCTCTGTAGCTGCTGTGCTAAAGTGAGCTAGATTTGCACGGCTAAAGTGACCTTAAATAGCTCACTCTAGCCGTGAGCCAACATTTTTCAAACTAACATTTTTCGGCGCACTTATGACGAAATTAAGTTTGAGTGTTCCAGAAAAGGAATACAGTAAGAATTGAACTTTATAGGCTACTTTGTTACAAGTCCACAGAAATGGAAGGGCACGTAACGCTCAGTGCATGTGTTTCCATTTCGTACCTTTCGAAATGAGGTCGCTGTGGACGGAATCCGAATAGACTGCGAGAGGTACGGCGATCGATAGCGTGCCAATCCGTGAGCTTGAAATTCCACAGTTCAGCTGACGCTTTATTTCACGAAATGCAATAAGGCACCCAAGCGAATGAGTGATGATGGTTTGTTTAGGGGTGAAGCTCCTTAAAGGCGTGGGTCGTTCGTCCCCTGTATGTATGCATGTAGGTAGTAACCACCTCACAACATATTTATGGAGTGAATGATGATAAGTGGGGTGAAGCTTCGGAGGGTCTCATCGGCAAACCATGAATCATACACTGGCCGCGTCCGTCTGTCGTCTGTTTGTCGGTCTGTTTGACGCACGGGTGGACGGACGCACAGACGTATGAATGGACAAACGGGCGCATGGAAGGATGCACGGACGGACGCTTCGCCCCACTCATCATCATTTACTCCGTGGATATGTTGTGATTTTTTTGCACATGAGGAGGATGAAGTCCAAAAAATGTCTGTATACAATATACAGTTTCGGCCTTAGCCTCGTTGCACCTACAAAGAGAGCCCCGCCGCGGTGGTCTAGAGGCTAAGATACTCGGCTGCTGACTCGCACGTCGCTGGATCGAATCCCGGCTGCGGCGGCTGCATTTCCGATGGAGGCGGTAATGCTGTAGGCCCGTGTGCACGTTAAAAAAACCCCATGTGGTCAAAATTTCCGGAGCCCTCCACTACGGCGTCTCTCATAA